AACGTTCTAGGTATTAACATTATTTGTTTGTTTATTGAACAATAACAAACAGATGTTTTTGAGTTAAAATTAGATATTTTTCTTGTTCTTTTGTTGTCATAAAAAGTTTAAAATACATAAAAAACTATTAAACTTGTTTTTAAAATAAATTTGGGTTAAGAATTATTCATCAACCTTCATTAATACTCAGCGACTATTATGGGTGAAATAAGTTGATAAAAATGAAAGAATTGTATAAAAATGACGGTGGTGTTTAATTTTATCTTTTTTATATAAATTTAAAATTATTGGTCAATATTTAAAACAGTGTTTTTGTAAAAACAAAAAAGTTGTGGAATTAACTTAAAGTGAGGCGAGAAACCCACACTTAGGGTCTGATTTCTTGCTGTCGTGTCGACTATTTGAAAACTGCTGAAATATGTCTTTTTATATTATAGCAAATTTATATGTAATTTATTTTTAGAATCGTGTTTCTTCATTTTTATATTTATACAAAAACGCAATTTTTGTGTCTTGTGCATTTTGCCCAAAAATACAATTAGCCGGCTTATAAACATTGATAAATATTTAATATCGTTTTTCTGTAAAAATATTTTTTGTTTTTCAAATGTTATTTATTTGTAACACACAAAATAATTAAAATAATAGTATGTTTATGGGCAAACTCTGTTGATGATACTTGGGCCAGTTTCATCATAATTTTCCTTTATAACGCAAGCCGACTCGAAAGTTGTTAAACTTGCAAACATGGCACCTCCCATCCAAGCAGAAATATCTCTGTTTTTTGGTGCAGTTACACTGATTTTTGCAGATTCGGGTGTAAATTTAGTAAATTCGCTTTTAAATCTCTCCACAAAGCCAGGCATCATTGTATTTCCACCAGCTAACACGATATTTCCATATAACTCATTTCTTACATCTGGATTAACTTGCATGAGCGAATCATAAGTCTGGAGTGCAATTCCGTTCATTTCCTTTCCATGTTTTTCTGGACTAAACAATTGTTCAGTACATTCAAATCTCTCAGCACCAAGTTTGATTTCTTTTTCATCGGGAAGTTTGAAAGTTTTCTCAAGTTCTTTTGTTTCTTTTTTCTTTTCTTCTTCATAGTTCTGAGCAATATAACACAGATTCTCTTTAATATCATTGATTTTAACTTTTTCTATAATATCCTCATAAGTGAACCCCTTTTCATTCGCAATTTTTTCAATGGACTCACTCACATCTTGTCCAGCCAGTTCTAAACACGACACACCCATTTGCATTTTTGAACCTTCATAAACTGGTACAAATTGAGTTACTCCATGACCAGACTCTACACAAAACCCAGTGCTTTTTCCAGTCGATAACAAGGATAATACCGGTTGCGAAATAAGACAAAAAAGTGGAAAATTATAAGTTTCAAATGCAATTTGACATATTTTCTCTTTTATTTTTGTGGTGGTATTAACTGCTTCTGTGAATAAACTTGGTGTTTTTTCAATATCCACCTTTAAATAATTATGAAAGTTATTATAAACAATTCCTTCAAAATCATACTTTTCAATATCAACAATACCACGTTCAACTGGACGTCGTAAATTGTATTGCCCGTGATATTTATATGTTTCTTCACCAACAAAATAATCTTTTGGTGTTTCTCCCGAACCACACATACAAGTCCAAACTTTTACATATCCTGAAACTGATTCATATGTTTTTAATGGTACTTTTTCATTTGCAAATCCAATTTTTGTTTTATATGAACCAATATCAAAAACTGCAATTGGGTCATTATGGATTTGTTGTGTCATTTGAATACAATAATATTAAACTGGTTGTTTTTATATTATTTGGTTTGTTATTACACAAAGTGTAATTATTGTTTTTATAAATTATAATATATTATTTTATAACTGGTGTAATTCTACATTTATCTATATTTACAATATTAATAAATTTTCTAAGTGTAGTTAAATTATTAGTCAACAGTTGTTATTAATTAAAAATAATTATAACAACATTTTAATTTAAATACATCATATATATAGTCATTAACCTTAGCAAGTCAACTGAATCAACTTTTTTTTGTGGGAAGGTGAAATCTGGATAAGATTTATCGAGATCATAATTTATTTTTAGAACAATTAAAATAAAATTCAAAACACGAAATCAATAATTTTTTTGCGCAACCTGATGGTCTTTACAGACCCATGTTTCTATTTCCCATGTGTTAAAATTGTTATTTTGATACCTTAAATAACATAATACAAAATTCAAGTGGTCTAAAAACAAAAAATCACCCTATTATTAAATATTTTTTTTAGTTTTTAAAGTTTATTTTATGTGTATAACATGACACCAACAAAAATGAGAATTGTCAATTATTGAATTAATATACACGTTATAACAGCTAAATTAAATAAAAACAAGTGCGGTATATTAAGTGTTAATTATATATAAATAATATTACAGTCAAGATAAAAAGTCGGATGCTGAGAAAAAGGCGGATGCTAATCTAAATATAAATTTATTTAATATTATTAATAATAAATAATTAATATAAATTTATTTTGTTTTTTACATTTTATTGATTTTTTGATTCATAATTTATATTAAAAATAATAGTAATTTTATTATTTTTCAATTGAAATTAACCAATAGTTATGAGCATCCTTCTTTTTCGAGCATCCCCAAATTTCCTCCTACTGTATATATATAAGACCCCCACATAATAGTCGACACTTTTTATTATAATATATAACAAATTAAAAATGGAATTATTTTTCAATTTATTAAATTCGACTGAACAATCAAAAAAAAAACAAATAATATTTTAAATTTTGCACACAACCAGCTGTTGTTCTGTTAGCACACGAACAAAAGCTTTGTAACGAACACAATTTGGTGACATTTGATGAAGTGCGATAAAAATCCATCATCGCACACAACACAGTTTCCTTCGTTTGTGCACGACTTGCATGACACATCGCAATTAATACATGTTGACCCATCGGATGACCGCATGTACCCCTCCTTGCAGACTACACACCCGCGATATGTTGACATCAACACGTCACACACACGGACAAGTTCGTTGATTAAGTGATTAATATTAAGTGCATTAAATATTGAACATATTTATAACGCTATTTATGTGTGTTGTTGTTATATGTTTTATATTTTTACTTTCCACTTAACTTTAATATGATACATATTATTATACTGATACTACATATTGGAGAATAATTTGTCTTGCGGTAACTAATTTGTCTACACCTTTAAATGTATAATTTATTATATTTTAATATATTCAAAATACCTATTAGTTTTATTCAGATCAGACTTTTTTAATGATATTTTTGTAAAACATATACTTAAAAAACATATCCAAAAAATGACCATGTCATGTTCGTGACACGTTTTTTATCGAATAAAACGGGACATTACAGTGTTTTGGATTGAAAATAAAAATAACAAACCACACTCTGAAACACTATAAAAAACAAGCATTAATTTGATTGATAATACAATTGACACTTCTTTACGAAGAATCAATAAACAAAAGTTAGAAGAATTGTTTTGAACAAAAGTATAATATAAATTAAGTTAATAATTGCACATAAAATTTGTTTACTGTGACCGTTTTTTCCGACCATTACTCCAATTTTCAGAGTAAAGCATTTACCTCAATACTTTTGAATAAAATCGACCTCTACGCGACCATTTATGCTTCCCTTTGTCAACTCATTCATTGTCAGTATTATGTGGACGCGGTTGTGGTTTCACCCCGCTTGCGAAAGATCAGAATGAATCCGCGCTGAGGGATGACTGGAAAGTGTGGAACGGGTGTACAAACAGATTGTTTGAGTGCGTCTTCCGGAGTCTTCTTTTCAATGCTGTTTCACTTGGTATTTACTGACTCAAGGTGACTAATAACAAATAATGACTGTTGGTCATTATTTGAATTCGATACCAGATTAAATATTAACTTAATTTTCTTTTCCATATTATTTTAAATAGAAAATAAGGACGGCATTTAAAATTAATAATGAAAAGGCCATCCTTGGTTGTGTTGGTTTTAAAACACTTGTTTATAATGCTATTAAAAACATAAACAATACAAACAGTTGATATCGTGTACACCAAAAATTTTAGCATGTTGTGAGTAAATCATCTTTTTATATTTTTATTTTTGAGTTTTAGATAAATATTTTTTTAGTTTGTTTATTTGGTTTATAATTAGAAAGTAGACAAATAATGAATTTGGGGATGGAACTGAATAGAAAATTGGGGAATATTTAACTTAAAATTGGGAAATTGAGATGCTAATAGGTTTATTAGACAAATTAGTTGCTCATCTGTACATATAGTTTAATTATATTGAAAACTTTATTCACAAACAAAAAAGTGTTGGTGCACAAATCTGATTTAAAGGTACTTTCTTAACAACGTTGCTGTTATTGTGATATCACAACAATAATAATGAAACAATAAACAACAAAAGTGTTACAATAAAAGCGTATTTAAATAAATATGGATTCGAGATTTTAGAACGTAAGTTGCAAAAAATCAGAGAAGTATAATGTGTGCATGATCTGAGTTAAATGGGCGTACCAATATAATGGGCGTACTCTTTTATTGGGCGTACTCGTTATATAAATAGTAATAATGATTATTTTACACAAATTATTTAACATTAATATATTACATTATTTAACTTTTATTATAATTTATCGAATATACAATCTATTATTAATAATATCCTTTGATTCAAACAAATACTTTACATTTATTTGACACACTTGTTGTATTATTTCTTATTTAAGTTGTTTAAAACAAATATATGGTTTTTTTTATTTGTTTGCTTGTTAAATTAATATAATAATATTATATACATTTATTATATGCATACAAAAATAAATACATTTTAAAAACGTGCCTTTATATTGTCTTTTAATTGTTTTTACTACATTTAATAATTGTTGTTGACCATCTATAAATTGTTTTTCTATATTGCACACATTTTAATACATTTGAAGAAATACATTAAAATAAAAGTATATTTTTGTTCATTTATATATCAATTAATAATGAAATTACAGTATTATTAAAATATCACATATAAATAATCGATTAAATATCTTTTGTTTTTCTTTTATGTTTTTCTTTTGCAATTTGTTGTATAACTGTTTTCTTTTTTCGTTTTAGACGACGTATTGGTTTATCTATTTTTTCATGAGAATTACTGTTATTTGGATCGGACACAATTGATGATAATGGGATTTCTTGCTGAATGTCGACCTCTAAGTCTGGACAACGTGATTGTGAAATTTCACATGATATTCTTGAAAATTCTTCTCTTGTTATATCAGTTATACTTGAAGTAAATTCTGTTTCTATTGTTTCTCTAAATCCAACTGTTGTTCTTCTGATATTGAAATTATTTGAGATAAAACACTTTGCTCAT